CTTTTGAGGAGAAATGTAAAAGTATTTTCATTTAAAGTTTCAAGTTTGCTAGAGGGTCACAGACCAGTTAAGTCAGGAATTGTGCTGGTTATTATGTGACCCCAGGGGGCTGCTGAGTCTGTGGCTGATGACCTGTTCGTACACCTTTATCATTCCTTGTCGCTCTCAAAAGTTGTTCTGTCTTCTTTCAGAAAATAACAGCTGACATTTATCAATCACTTCCAGTGTGCCAGGAACTATTAAGCCCTTTGCAGGCAAGGATGCATTTAATCTTCACAACCCTATGGGGTTAAGTCCATTTATAAGCCTCATTTTGCAGATGAGGAAAGTAAAGATCGAAGGGATTAACCAGTTCCATCCTGGGTGCTCATCAACTACGGGGTGAAGATGGCATTCAAGCCCACAGCAGAAAACCTTACCCACTGCTCCCAAAAGCCTTACCGTGAGTCTCCACTCTGACTTCAAATCTTCATGAGAGGAAGAGTCCTTTTGTGTGAACACGAAAGCAAACACAGCCCTGGATTCGTTTATGCAGCTATCGTAAATTTAAAGATGACGCTGGAAGCTGTAGGTTGCATCTTCTTAGCAGCTGTGTCTCTAGGTCAGCCAAATGACTTTTTTATACTACAGTGGCCACGCCGAGAGTATGTCTGGTCTTCTGTTTCTCTTCATTCTTTTTCTCTGAAGAAATAACTCTCAGGAAATGATTTCGAACTCGGTGGTGTGACTGTGGAGCAGGGGGAGCGGGCAGAGAATGGGGAGGGCCGGGGAGATGTTTAAAAGCCGCCTTGGAAACCCTCTCTTCAGTGAAGGCGCTGAGTCTGCAGGAAGGGGACTGACGGTGTCTTATCTCGGGAACTGCGTGGTGTGCGTGAACTTCCGTGGAAACAGGTGAAGAGACTTCAAAACGAGTCATCACAAGGTAAAACAGAGACAGCAGAGGGGGTGCAGGAGCAGGGGACAGACAAACTGGGGGACACTCAGGGACCCAGCAGGCCTCTCAGGGAGAGCTTGGGACAGTCACAGTCTGGGGACCTATGGCTCAACCCACTCTAATCAGATCTGTAAGTGAGCAGATGGCCCCTGGCTGTGAGTGGAGTTGTATAGATATGTAACCGAATTTAAATCATCCCCACTAGAATGGCTCAGATTTTAAAAGCTGACAATGCCGAGTGCTGCCAAGGACATTGCCGGGGGCTTTTTTTTTCATAACAGGGACTGCCAACCGGCACTCACACGCCGCAGGTGAGAGAGCATGCAGCATGGCCGCTGTCGGGGAGGGCTGGGCATTTCTTGCAAAACGAGACGGCGTGCACCGCCACAGGACCTTGCAATTCCCCTCCGGGACAGCACAGGTCTGAACTGTGTGGGTCATCTATATGTGGGGTTTTTTTCAGTAGACTGGAAAACTTTTTGGAGATTTGCAACAATTTTAAAAACCTGCAGAAGAACCTGATAATTTTCTTAAGACTTTTTCTTTTCTCTAGCTTCCTTTATTGTGAGAATACATACGACATACAAAACATGTGTGTTTACCAACTGTTTATGTTACCAGCAAGGCTTTCGGTCGGCAGTAGGCTATCAGTAGTTAAGCTTTGGGGAGTCGAAAGGGATATGCAGATTTTCAACTGTGTGGGGTTCGGTGCCTCTAAACCCCAGGCTGCTCAAAGCACAACTGTATTTACTCAAGAGGAATGAAAACGTTATATCCATACAACAACCTGTATGCAAATATTGCCGGGGGCTTTTTTTTCATAATAGGGAGAAACTGGAAACAACTCAAATGTCTATCAACTGAGGATTGATTGGACAACAGAGCAAATCACTCAGCCAGAGAAGGAAACAGACCACTGACACACGCAGCAATGCAGATAAATCCCACGAGCAGTATGCTGAGTGAAGCCAGACACGCAAGATGACACACTGCAGGATTCCGTCCACATGACATTCTAGAAAAGGCAAAACAATGGTGACAAGGCCAGATGGGTGGGGCTAGGGGCTGAGGGATGGGGAGGAGACCAATTTCGAAGGGGCACAGGGAACACCAAGGTGACGGAAGTGTTCTATATCTTGATTATTGTGGCGGTTATGTTATTATACACACATTTGTCAAAACTCATCAAACTGTGTACTTAAAACATGTGAATTTTACTATATGTAAATTATACCTCGATACAGCTGGGGGTTTTGCTATTGTGTGTATTTTTTAAACCAGATTTTTTTTTTTTTTATGGTGACACTGGTTAAGAAAATCTAGTAAGTTTCAAGTGTGCAATTCAACAATAAGTCATATATATTTTGCATTGTATGTTCACCCCCCATAGTTAGATTTCTTTCTGTCACCACATATTTGACCCCTTTTACCCCATCTACCTCCCCCGTCCCCTGACCCCCGCTCCCCTCTGATAACTACTAGTCTATAGTCCATGTCCATGAGTCTCTGTTTGACCTGTTCGTTTGGTGCTTTTAGGTTTCTATCCCACATATAAGTGATATCTTGTGGTTTTTGACTTTTTTTGGCTCATTTTGCTTAGCATAATCATCTCGAGGTCCATCCACGTTGTCACAAATGACAGTATTTCATCTCTTCTTATGGCTGAGTAATACTCCATCGTATATATGTACCGCAGCTTCTTCATCCGATCCTCTATCGTAGGACACTTCGGTCGCTTCCATGTCCTGGCCACCATGAATAATGCTATGAACATCAGTGTGAAAATATCTTTTCGAATATGTTTTCAAGTCTTTGGGGTAAAAACCTAGTAGAGGGATTGCTAGGTCACGTGGCAGATCGATTCTTAGTTTTTTGAGGAACCTCCATACTGTTTTCCATAGTGGCTGTACCAATTTGCAGTCCCACCAGCAGTGCATGAGGGTTCCTTTTTCTCCGCATCCTCTCCAATATACAAATGGGAAACAAACATATGAAAGGATATAAACATATAAAACTGCTGCTGCGTTTTAACCTAAATCGTCCTCACATCATCGCGTCGCAGCGAGAGGACATGTGACTCCGGAGATGCTCTCACAGCACGGCCGTCCCACTCGCCTCTCCCTGGCGACTGCTGCGCATTCTCAAGGGCTCCTTCAACCCCCACCTTGGTGCGATTGTTCACATTATTTCAAAAGAGAAGTTTAATCAGAGCTTGATTTGGGCTGAGTCTCCTGGCCGACACAAAGTTGGTCTGGGGGGCCGCAGTTTTAAAGCATATTTCCTGAATAAAGCCGGACACTGTGTTCTTACATGCACAGAATCACAGTCCTGGGTGCATAACTAGGGCTGCCTGATGAAAACAGGACGTCTAGGCAAAGTTAATTTTAGATGAAGAACAAATACTTTTTTAGTATAACTGTGTCCCAAATATCTCACGGGACGTGCTTTTTATTTGCTGTGTTTGGCAGCCCAATTAGTAACATTATCATCATTAGTCCACGCATAGGCTTTTCAACTTTATTTATTTATTCACGTAATTAATCTCATATTCATGTTTTAGCTGCAGGTGTTTTTAATAACTGTGGCTGTAACCACCCTCTATGAAACCATACAGCACCCTAAGGCACTGAGGACTGACTGGACTAGTGAGACGGGACAGGTGGAGGGTTCTGTCCGGCAAACTCTGATCTGCACACCTGGGCGTCAGCATCAGCTTGGTGCTTGTTTGACAGAATCTCCTCCCCCACCCAGACCGACTGAACTCAGAACCTGCATTTTAACAAAATCCCCATGTGACTAGGATGCGTGTTAATGTTTTCGGGGCATGGATTTCGAAAGTGGCGTTTTACGAGCATTCTCAGGACCTATGCCGAGTGGATTGAAGGGGAAGTGACTACAAGCGGAGCGACCCCCTCACGGGAATATTTTAAAAGTTCAGGCATCACTTCGAGATCCGAATTATGATTCAGGCAGTGGGTATGAAAAGAAAGGAACTGAAATGAGAAACATTCGAATGGAAAAAAAATCAATGGGACTTGGTAACAGACCATGTGGAGAAGAGAAAGGAAAGACGTCAGAATCCGAATATAAATCAAGCGGAAGCATCACGGGTCGCCAGGAGCGTTGGCGGTGGTTCTCGGCCTTATCTGCACACTGTCATTGCCAGTGCTGGGAGCTTTCCAGTACTGGTGCCCGGGCCCCAAGCCCTCAGAGTCTGATCTGAGGTGAAGCCTGGGCACCAGAAGCACACCCCAGGTGACGAGTGTGCAGCCCAGGTGAGGAACCACTGACACGGGCTTTTCAAATCTATTTATTTTCACTTAGAGTAGTGATTTTCAACTCTGGCTGCACTTCATAATTGCATGGGGAGCTTTAAAAGTACATCAGGATCCAGACCCTGCCCTTAGGGTATTCTGGTTTAATTGGTAATATTTTAGAAGTTCCCCAGTGGAATATAATGTGCAGCCAGGGCTGAGAACACTCAGTTGAAGCATTCCGTTTAATCGATAATTTATTAACTTTTTTTGAATACATATAAAATGAAAAGGGAATTCAGTACTAACATAATCTAAACCTTCTAGTTAGGTAAAGTATAAACCAACACATTTTCATTTGCTCATCCTAACTTCACAATGGAATTGATTTGGGATTAGCTACGATTTCCTTTTTTTCAAAACCTCATTTTTATTTTAAAAAATCAGCTGATGATCACTGCAGTTGGATAACCATTTATGAAAGGAATATTATTCAGACAGTTAAAATATAATGTGAAATAAGTTGATTGCAACTACAATTAATATATCTTGGATAGAATAAGGTCCTGAAGGGAATGGTGGATAAGGAAATAAAATGTCTAGAATTTATTTCTAAGTCACAGTAAAGTCTCTATCAGGATTCAACTCTATAACTAAAATCTAAATAAAAAATACCAAGCAGAACAGTTAAGCACTTTATAGTTAACTTGTCACTATAGCATTATTTCCTAAGTGTGCAAAGTAAAGTAAATCTTTTTTCGAAAAGAAAAATGTTTCCAAATGACCTTTTATGAAATGGAAAATTGGCTTACCTCTTCCCTATGATTCTTAATTGGCATACAAAGAATACTTTGTGTCCTGTAGCCTGTAATTTGGTCAACTTCTGCATTGAATCGAGGATCCTAGTAAGGAAAAAGAAATTTAATTTAATGACTGACCTGTTCGAAGACTGATTTGATTTTTCCGATTTATAAGATTAGAGAAATCTAACCTTCGACTTACCTTGTTGCTCTGAATGACAATTTTATTGTTGTAATAGGCATCAAATCATATGAGTACATATCGTCTTTGACAAAGATAAATTTAAGCAGTTTTTTTTTTTTTTAGAAGCTAATGTTTCTAAGAACCAAAAAAATACAGACTCAAACAAATGTCCGGAAATATAGGAAATTTGAAACATTATTTCGAATAGCCTTACCTAGATTTGGGGAAAAGTGGCACCTGTCCCGCTCTGGAACACAGTTTGCCTGCTCCTGCCTCACTGCCCAAGGCTTCTGTGCCATCAGAGGAAAAGCGTCTCTGCTCGGAGACTCTCCCTATAAAACCTCCCACTCCCAGAACGACTTTACCTCCCTTGCGATCATTTGTTTCCTTGTTAGTCTGTTCTCCATCTCAGGAGTTCATAAGAACTTAAATCTTATCTTTCCTTCCATATACATATATATTGAATATATATATACACACATACACATACACACATACGTACACATATACATATCTATATACACACACACATATACAAATATACCTATAGATGTATGTGTGGCCTCAATTGGACTGTAAACAACCCCTTAATCTTTGAATCTCTTCCTCTCTTTACAAAGCACATCACACACATTAATAATCAAAAGGACTCTGAGAAATGTGATAGTTCTAAATGTGGGTTAAAGAAAGAGGTACAGGCTCTTCTCCGCTGAACTTTGGACTGGGAAGGTTAAAGTTAGGCTGTAAACTCGATGTGAGCTTTTTTTTTTTTTTTGGTTCACTAGCATGTTCCCAATATTAGCACAGGAACTCAAAAACGTCCGTTGAATAAATGAAGGAATTCATTAGCAAATGACACCATAGTTATTTAACGTGATCATTTTTTGCTTGTTATCGTTTAAAGCAAAACTTGTAGGTGGGGGTGCGGGTGCTCACCAGAGGAAATGGACAGATACCACTAACGGGATAAGATCAGAATGGAAACAAACATGCCAGAGCATAAACATCTGCATGAGCGCTGTTCCCTTCAAGCTGTAGCCTTGGGAAGTTACATGCTCGATCTAATAATAGCACCACTGCTCTCAAAACTCTGCTTTTGGAATTCCCTTCAGAGAATATGGAATAGCCACACTGGAAAATCCTCATCTTTGAAGGTCATTTCTATTTTTTTCTTTTTTTTTAATTAGTCTAAAGTCATGCAAAGCCAAAGCTGTGAATGAAGTAAATGATTACTCTGGATTCACTCAATTGGGGTCAAAAATGAGGCCAAAAATGAGGCCTAAGAGAACCAAACTTGGCATTACAGACAATTTCAACAGAAAAGTTATAAAATGGTGGAAAGTCAGAATTAATATTTTATATTTAAATAAACACTACTGTATGTTTGCTTTTTCTGCAAATATGCTCAAAGTTATATTGGGACAAAAAAAAATCTTGGCTGAATGTTTCTAGAAAATGGTTCTTAAATAACATACTAAAGTATTTAATGAAAGACAGGATACTGATATTGATGAATTAAGGAAGTAAAAAAATATTAAATTATAAAGTGAGTTACTTTATAAGCTAATGCCAAATTATGATTAAAAATGCATCCTAGGCAATTATTTTATTTATGCAGATTTTAATTACAAGACCAATTTATAAAGAAGAGAACTAAACCCAGCTATCTGATCAAAGCAATAGAGTTTGACAGACTGAAATTAGTAGGCCTTTCAAGCTTCTGGTGTATACTAGAAGTTAAAATCAACAACAGCCCTGGAGTTCTCTCTTCATCGAAGGGCGGGAGTAATGTATGCTTCAAATTCACTTTAGGTGAATTCTAACATCTTACAGAATCTTCCTTTAATAACGCACTCAGTGCAAAGGCAGTAAACACAGAGAACTTCTAACCGCTCTCGGCCCAGGAAACACAAAAGGAAAAACAGCATGATTATGATTGTGATTATTCCTTTTACTGTGTATGAGAACATGTCAAGCAAACAAACAAAAAAACCACAAGCCTTGGCTATCCACTCACCATAATAAACA